GGGTGGGTGGGGGGAGGTGGCAGGGGTGGGGGGACTGGCGTGCAGCATATACCCTTTGGTTGTTTGAATGGTTATATATCCCTGAGTGCTTCTGTATACATAAAAAAAAAAGGGGGGGGGGATTGGAAGCAAATGCTGTTGAATGATGATGCATGGAGGGGAATGTAATCATTGCAATGCAACAAAATACGGTAGGATGAATGTAAAGCTGATGCTCTCCCATGTAAACTATCACTCAATTCACAATAAAAACTTAAAAAATAAATAAATAAAAAGGAGCTGTTTAGTTATGCACAAGTGAATTCATATATATAAAAATACACATCCCAAAATTATTGCAAAAACTCACAAAACAAAACACCCACTTCCCTTAAAAGTGAAAAGGAAGCCCCTAGCACGATGAGATTCAAGATGATTTACATTAGGAAAATTCTTTGTTTTACTTTCCAAACATAACAAAACCAGAAGACAAAAAGCAAAAACAAAAATAAAAACGCTAGCTTCCTTTTGGCAAATAAATATTCCAGTATAATCCTCCCCAAATCACATTGGCCCAAAGCCCAAAAGAAAGCAAGCAGCAGACTGCAGCCTCTTTGTGGAGCTGCCATGAGCGGCTTTTGCTATAACCTCATGTGCCCCCAGGGATGTCTGACCTCGCTTATCTGAGCATGAACGTCTTGCTGGGTTCAGTCTGGACCTCCCTGTATCTACACATGCTGGCCCACCAGTTAAGCACCACCTTGCAGTCCAGTGACAGATGCTTAGTGTTATCAAGGGTTACATGCCCAAATCCAGAGAAATATGAGGAAAGCCAATGGGTTGTAGGTCACAAGGGAAAGAAGGAACCTGTACCTTGGGTTCTTTTATTTCAGTTTGTCTCTACTAGACTCTTATTTTATATTTGTGTCCAGAAGACAGGAGTCAAAGAAAAGCAAGACAATGTTCTATTCAGGGAAGAAGAAGGAATTTTGCAGTGGAGCAAACATATGTAGTTCTTATTCCATTCCACATGTCTTTGTATTGGGTGCATGATATTACCAAAAAATCAAATCAAAATTTTTTAAATATAGCAAACAATTCCACTTAAAAGCCATACTTCATAAATGAAAGATACACAGTCTAGATTTTAATGGTAGGGTAGAAACTGTTTCCTGCTCACCATTCTATCTGCAGTGTTAGGGCAGGCCTGGAATGTAAATATTTGTCCTGTGAATGATCACACAATAGTTCTCAGGCATGTTTGATTCATAACAGAAGCTCAGTTCATGTTTATCTCCACAGACCCTCTTTTTCCTCCTGTTTCGATCGTTGGAGAAGAAAGTGCTAACCTGTATCTCCCAAAGTGAAGGAAGCCTGCTGTGTGGAAACTAGATGTGATCCCAGCACCACTGGATTCAGGATGACCCCTCGTGAGGTTTGGAGAAGGAAGTGGTCTTTGGACTGGATTATACATTTCAGCTGTGAGTGAGGAAAAGGGGTGGACATTTCAGAAGCAGAAAAGAGTACCAAAATCACATGGGTAACAAACTGCATGGAACAACCAGAGCACTACCATAGAGACAGACCTGCTGCAGATGAAGCTAGGAAATAGGGGCAAATCCTAAAGGTTCTCAAGAGCCAAACTAATTATTCTTGTATGATCTGCTCGCTCAAGTTAGCCCAGATGTCAGTTTGGTTGTATGCATGAAATGACTTAGTACTGTGCCAAGATGTAAGACTATAATAGGATGCTTTTCCATTCAGTCTACTTCCTTACACTGGGCACAGACACTTCACAACCTGGGGAGGCTGAGCTCAGCTGGTGGCCATTAGGAGCCATGTGCCTGCTGGTAATCCTTTCATGAAGATGGCACAAGACCAGACAACGGTTCATTCTGTTGTACATGAGATCGCCACAAGTCGGAGCTAACAACGACTCCGTCAGTCTCTGAGGCTTCTCCTAAGAGAATTAAAGATCATTCGACTTAGAAGGATACTGCACGGAGGTTCAAAAAATGTATTGGATGCTTCGATGTTTCAAAGCAGACCAACTGAGGCCTTAAATCTGGTTTCTTCAAAAATCATTGCTTTGGAAGATGCAATTCCAAAGCATCAGTGGAAGACCTGCAGCAGCTCAAGTCATCTATTCAATAAATAATAATAATAGCAATGAGGACACCAAGCAGCTAGGATAGACATCAGTTTCAGCACCGCAGCAAAGTCCCGAGAACTTGCAGACAGTGGCAATGTAATAACCCAACTTAAGGAGTCCTGGTGACATTATGAATTAGGCATTAGGCTCCTCTCCAAACAAGGTTGAGACCTACCAGCTCCTTCTTGGGAAAAAATATGAGGCTGCTCCTATAAAGATTTGGTTTGTTGTTGTTGTTGTTTTGGCAGGGGCAGAGGCAGGATATGGAAGTATTAAGGAGCCCTGGTAGCACAATTGTTAAGGGCTAAGTGACTGGCCATAGGCTTGGTAGTTCAAATCCACCAGAGAGTCCAAGGGAGAAAAGACCTAGCAATCCACTGCCATAAGGATTTTAGGTTAGAAAACCTTAGGCGTTAGCATATCCCACCCTGTTGGGTCACTATGAGTCAAAATCAATTTGATGGCATACAACAACAACATGGAATTATGAGGGGGCTTCAAAACGTTCATGGGAAAATGGAATTAAGATAATGGAGTTTTCCCACAAAGGTTTGAAGTCCCCTCATAGTAGGCACCATCACTGGCATTTGTCATAAGTCAACCCAACTGTCAATTTCATAGTGCTCAGTCTAAAGTCTCACTATTCCAATAGTAAGGACAGTAAATCAGCACTTAGAGCCAAGAAGAGAAGCAGAAATTATGGCACTGCTGGATAAATTCTGGTAGCGTAGTGGTTATGAATCTGGCTGTGAACCTCAAGGTCAGCAGTTCGAAACTACCAGAAATTCCACCCGCCGGAGAAAGATGAGGCTTTCTGCTCCCATAAAGATTAACAGCCGTGGAAACCGTATGAGGTCGCTATGAGTCGCATCAGACTCCACTGCACATAACCACCACTGCCATCTCTAACTACAAGGTCAGCAGCTCAAATCTACCAGCAGCTACTCAGAAACCCAATACGGGATCTCTATGAGTTGGAACCAACTCGACGGCACATAACAACAACAACAAACATGGGCAAAGAGAAGCCATGGTGTTGCAACTGAAAGGCTGGTAGTTGGACAAAGATGAAGCAGTCTGCTTCTGTTAAGATTTCGTCTTCCTTCTCTCCTTGAATTGGGTCACACCTCCCCACCAGAGATGCAGAAAGTCAAGGATGCTACATTGGTGGGAGGAACTCCATGATGGCATAATCGTTCAATGTCACCTGTTAAAAGAAATTCAGGCATTTTGAATTCATCCAGAGGCTCCTGGGAAGGAAGACCTGGCCAAAAAAAAAATGACAGCTCCTCTGGTTACAAAATACAGTCAAGAATACCCTAGTAGGCGGAGGCTGTTGGGAGTCTGGCGCCCGCAGGGGCTGCCGGGGAACTAGGGTGTGGAGGAGGGGCCGGAAGCTCCGTCGCCATATGGCTGTTTTGTCCAAGCTGCAGGAACGAGCTGATAGTAGAAGAGGGGCAACGCTGCCGCCGCTATGCCTGCAATACCTGCCCCTACGTACACAATATCACCCGCAAGGTAACAAAACGGAAGTATCCCAAACTGAAAGAAGTGGATGACGTGCTTGGAGGAGCTGCTGCCTGGGAGAATGTTGACTCCACTGCAGAGCCATGTCCCAAATGTGAGCATCCACGTGCCTACTTCCTGCAGCTTCAGACGCGCTCTGCGGATGAGCCAATGACCACCTTCTACAAGTGCTGCAATGCCCAGTGTGGACACCGCTGGAGGGATTAGGGGCCAGGTTGGTCCAGCAGCAAGCACACCTGGTTCTGTACAGCCTGGCAGAACCCCAGTGGGACTGTGTCCTGCGTTCTGAGGGCTATGGGCCTTTAGTGATGTGACAGAAAGCCAACCCTTTGGGGCAAAGAAACCGGAAGTATGGTCATGCAGTCCATTTGCAGGTCCGTGGAGTTTTTGTGCCTGAGGAGGAACATCCCTCAACTATGTCTGCCCTATTTAAGGTCTAGATCGTTTCTCTTTACATGTTTCGAGCAATTGACATTCCTACAACATCTTCTTATGCTCTTCAATATTTATACAAATAAGAAAGCAAGAAGTATTCACTTAAAAAACAACAACAGAATACCCTAGTAGACAGTTCTACCCTGTGACTTAGTGGTCACTATGACTTGAAAAAACCCCTAATCTGCACCAAAAAAAAAAAAAAAGAAGAAGACGGTCAACTATTTCAAGAGGTAGCAAATGATCAAGAGCCAATGGTACTGAGGCATTGGCAAAGAACAAGGCACCGGGAATTGATGAAATACAAACTGAAATGTTTCAATAAAATGAGGCATCATTGGAGGCACTCACTCATCTATGCCAAGAAATTTGAAAGACAACTACCTGGACAAGTGACTGGAAGAGATTCATATTTGTACCCATCCCAACAGAATTCGGATATCATCGACAATATCATTAGCATCACACGTAAGTAAAATCTTGCTAAAGATACCAAAACAGCTTCAACCATACATTGACAGAGAACTGCCAGAGGTTCAAGCTAGATTCAGAAGAGAACATGAAATGAGGACTATCAGTGCTGACGTCAGATGGAGCTTGGCTGAAAGCAAAGAATACCAGACAGATTTGTTTACCTGTGCTTTATTGACTACACAAAAAAGGACTTTGATTATGTGGATCATGACAAGCTATGAACAACATTGAGAATAATAAGTATTCCAGATACTTAATTGTGCTCATGAGCAACCTGTACATAGACCAAAAGACGGTTGTTCAAACAGAACACGAGGCACCAAATGTTTTAAAATTAGGAAAGGTGTGTGCCAAGGTTGCATTCTTTCACCATTATTCATTCTGTACACTGAGCATATAATCTAAGAAATGTTATGATTATATGAAGCAAAACCTAGCATCAGGATTGGAGAAAGACTCATTAACAACCTGCAATATGCAGATATTGTTGCTGCTGCTATAGTTGTTGTGGTGGTTAGGTGCGGACTTGATGGCACCTAACAACAACAGCAACAGTACAACATATCTGCACAGTTTAATTTGTGATGATGTGAAGACAGGAAAGAAAGAAAATAAGTAAAGGATTCAACCCACTAGTCTATTGTTATTGGGTGCTCTTTTTCAAGTAATTGTTGATATTGTTAGGTGTCATCAACTCTGCACCAACTCATAGCGACTCTATGCCCCACGGAACAAGACACTGCCCAATCCTGTGCCAAGCTCACAATCATTGTCACGCCTGAGCCCACTGCTGCCGCCACTGTGTTAATCCATCTCATCGGGAGGTCTTTCTCTTTGACTTCAACATTCCACTTTACCAAACATGATATCCTTCTACAGGGATGGATCACTCCTGATAATATGTCCAAAGTATGAGACACTAAGTCTGGCCATCTTAGTTTCTAAGGAGCATTCTGATTGTACTTCTCCCAACACAGATTTGTTTGTTCAAGCAATCCATGGTATGTTTAATATTCTTCTCCAACACCATAGCTTAAGTGCATCAATTATTCTACAGTCTTCCTTATTCACTGTCCAACTTTCACATGCATATGAAGTTATTGAAAATACAATGGCTTGATTCAAGCTTGTTGTTGTTGTTATTGTTGTTGCTGTTAAATTCCATCAAGTCAGTTTTGACTCATAACGACCTAACGTACAACAAAATGAAACACTGCCCAGCAATGCACAATCCTCACAATTGATGTTATGCTTGAGTCCACTGCTGCTACCACTATGTCATTCCATCTTGTTGGGAGTCTTCCTCTTTTTCACTGACCCTGCACTTTACCAAGTTTGATGTTCTCCTGATACTATGTCCAAAGTATGAGACACAAAGTGTCACCAGTCTGGATTCTAAGGAGAATTCTGGCTGTACTTCTAACACAGATTGGTTTGTCCTTCTGGCAATCCATAGTACTTCCAATATTCTTTTCCAGCACCATAACTCAAATGCACCAATTCTTCTACGGTGTTCCTTATCCATTGTTCAACTTTTACATGCATATCAGTCAACTGAAAATAGCATGGCCTGGGTCGGGCACACCTTTGTCCTCAAAATGATATCTTTGCTCTTGAACACTTTAAAGAGGTCTTGTGCAGATTTGCCTACTGCACTCCATTGTTTGATTTATTTACTACTGTTTCCACTAGTGTTGATTGTGGATCCAAGCAGAATGAAGTCTTTGACAGCTTAAATCTTATCTCCATTTTCCTTGATGTTACTTATTAGACCAGTTGTGAGGATTTTTTTTTTTTTTTTCCTTTACATTGAGGTGCAACCCATACTGAAAGCTGTGGTCTTTGATCTTCATTAGTATGCTAAGTCCTCTGATTGAACCACAAATTCAGTGGTTCAAACTCACTAGTCACTACTCAGAAACCCTATACATGATCACTGTGAGTTGGAACCGACTTCATGGCAGTTAACATTAACAAAATAACAAAAACATCTTTCTGGTATTCTCTGCTTTTAGCCACAATTCTCGTGACACAGCAATGATATCCCTAGTTCCATATCCTCTGAATCTGGCTTGAGTTTCTGGCAGTTCCCTGTCAATGTACTGATGTAGTCATTTTTTAATTATCTTCAGCAAAATTTTACTTGCATGTGATATTAATGATGTTATTCAATTATTTCCACATTTTGTTGGGTTGCCTATCTTTGGAATGGGCACATATATTGATGGATGTTTTCTACTCAGTAGACCAGATAGCTGTTTCCAAATTTCTTGGCATAGATGAGTGAGTGCCTCCAGTGCTACACCAATTTGTTGAACATTTTCTATTTGTATTCCATCCATTTTGGGAGCGTTGCTTTTCACCAGTACCTTCAGTACAGCTTGGACGTCTTTCTTTAATATCATGAACTCTTGATTATATGATTTAAATGGTTGAACATTGACAAGATTTTTTTTTTTTTTTTTTTTTGACTCTGTGTATACCTTCCATCCTCATTTGGTG